GGGCATTGTGTCACCAGTATGCTGATGACACACAGCTCTACATCTCCTTTTCATCTACCTCAGTGGATGCCGTTCTGTCCCTCCAGTGCTGCCTGGAGACACTACTGGAATGGATGCAGTTGAACGGGTTGAGGCTGAACCTGGACAAGACAGAGGTCTTGAGGGTGGGTGGTCCTTCCATCAGCAGTATAGGTAACCCCCTTTCTTTCGGGGGATGACCCTTGCCGCAAAGAGTGAGGTCCGCAGCTTGGGGATACATCTGGACCCAGCGTTTACAATGGAAACGCAGGTGGCGTCCATGGTCCGCTCCACCTATTTTCATCTATGGCGGATTGCTCAGCTAAGACCATATCTTGATCAGGGGGGCCCTCACTACTCCAGTACATGCGCTCGTAATCTCGAGATTAGACCATTCTAACACACTCTACATGGGGCTGCCTTCGAGGCTGACATGGAAACTTCAGGTGGTCCAGAATGCGGCAGCCAGGCTCCTTAGTGGGGTGAGAAAACACCAGCATATCTCCGTCACTCTGGCTGCTTTGCACTTGTTGCCCATCCGTTTCCATGTTGACTTCAAAGCCCTAAATGGTTTGGGACCTCAATATTTGGCAGATCGTCTTCTCCCACCCAGATCTACCCGAATCACCCGTCATAGCCAGCAGGGACGGCTGAGGATTCTGACGCCAAGAGAGGCCCGGAAGGAAAAAATTAGAAACCGGGCCTTCTCGGCGGTGGCCCCTCGGCTGTGGAACACCCTTCCAACAGAAATTCGGCTGGCACCCTCGCTGGGTGTTTTTAAAAGCCAGTTAAGCAGGCCTTCCCTCCAGTTAACTAAGTCTCTTTTATTTTTTTCTTTTCTTATGTTATCCCATCTTGGTAATCCTTCCTTAAATTAATTGTCTTAAGTAATACTGCAATTGTATTTTATGATTATATATATTTTTATATTGATCTATTTTATTTTGTAAGCCGCCCCGAGTAGACATGGTCTATAAGGGCGGGGTATAAATCTAATAAATAAAATAAATAAAATATTATACGGTAGTTGGAGCATTCGTTGACACTGCCCTTCTTTGGGATCAGGATGAAGACTGATCTTTTCCAATCCTCTGGCCACTGCTGAGTTTTACAGTGTAGCACCTTAACAGTGTCATCTTTTAAGATTTTAAATAGCTCCACTGGAATGCCATCACCTCCACTGGCCTTGTTGTTAGCCATGCTTTCTAAGGCCCACTTGACTTCACTCTCCAGGATGTCTGGCTCAAGGTCAGCAACCAAACTATCTGTGTTGTCCAGGACATCCAGATCTTTCTGGCATAATTCCTCTGTGTAGTCTTGCCATCTCTTTTTGATGTATTTTGCTTCTGTGAGGTCCCTACCATTTTTGTCCTTTATCATGTCCATCTTCGCACGAAAAGTTCCTTTAAGATCTCCAATTTTCTTGAACAGATCTCTGGTTTTTCCCTTTCTGTTACTGTGGCTGTTCGCTACAATTGCCTGATACATAGGAGATTGCAATAGATTTTTTTTTATGCCGTTGACATTTGTTGGCCAGACTTTAGTCCAGCAAAACCAAAGAGATCACAACTCTTTGTTGGTTGGAGTAGAAAGCTTGGCTTTCATCAGTGAGAGCTTGTCTATGTGTGTGGCTTCATGAGTACTTGGCATCCCCATTTGGAACAGCATGCACTTACACACATACCTGGGTTTCTGGTATAACAATAATAATTTTGTGTTGTCATATCAATTTTGACTTATAGTGATCCTTTCCAGGATTCCTTAGTTATAACCAGGGGCTAAGTTTACCACCCCTTGCCACAATGAGTTAATTTCTTGATGAGCACCCATCATAATGAGAGCTTGACTTAATGAACAGCATTCACAACTTCTGTGGTCAAAATATTTGTTGCAGGAGGTGGTGATAAGAGAAGGAGGGGGAAGGTTCATATGGTTCATTGTGAAAAACATGTCTATTCTATCTGCCTGGCTCTCTCTCACTCTCTCTCTGCTTTAAATACATGTGAGGGACCTGCACCTCTCCCTGCTTACTGTCACTTTGACATTGCCACCATTAAAACATTTCATTTGCAATTCTACATGCATTTAGTAATCTAAATGCGCTAGTGACATTTCTCTGTAAATTCCATGGTTTTCTTAAGTAATGAGTTAATTAACAATAATGCAAACAATTGAATACATATCTGCATTCTCAATGTTTACAATGATGAATTTAATTTTCTCTTTCAATGATCAGTATTAAGAAATTAATTTTTCAACTTGATGTCTGCATTTGCGCCTTCTGTGCTGAAATGGGAAATACAAATCCCAGAATATCTCACCATGGAATAATATTCTGAAGCACATTCAATGGGATTTACTCCCAGGCAAAGCCTGTCAAAGTCACTTTTCATGTTATACTTTCCTTTTTAAATTGTCAGTTTTTCCCCTCTTATCTGTGGTTTTAGTCTAGGTTTTTGAGGTTTTCCATGCCCATAAGGCATTTTTTTCCTGCAGCAGTGGAGGTAACTTGGCAGGAAAAAGAGCATGATTAAAAGCCCATAAAAATACTTTATATTCTAGGTATCTGTAAACTAATAAGGAAACAGCCTGAGAACAGAGAATGAATTTGCATCTCCTTAGCAGAAGGAGCAGTTCTTCTTTGCAGTTTTCTGAAGTATTCTGGACTGGTATTTCTAATGGTAAGGTTTCCCATTTTGGCACAGAAGGCTCAAGTTTTCTATTAGCATTTCGTTTAGACATGGATCTTCTAAATGGTCCTGTACAGATTCATTTTGCTTATCTCTGTTCACCTTAGGTTGTACTGTACTTGACTGGCTAACCAGCCTGAGCTGTTTGACATCTTCCCTGCTCTCCTGCTGCCGCAGTTTTTCAGAACTATATATAAAAATGTGAACTGTTTAAATGTGTACACAATGTAGATTAATTAACTCACACAAATGAACGATTGATTCCCCAACTCTGGGCAGGGACAAACTATCTTGAGCAGCTCCCATTAGTTCTCCAAATGAACTTTATTTCAGGCTTGTTTTGGATCTAAAATATTCCTCTTTTTGGGAGACCATCAAGAACCTGAGTGGTTTTTTCTGAGTGTGTCCAGACAAAGATTTTATCACACAATCATCTCATACACTGAATTTTAAGAATGTATGAAGCTGCCAGTTATTATAACTGATACTGGAATTTGGATCAGCACACAAACTGGCACAGACACACTGCTCTTGTTTCCTTCCCAACATCGGGCAAGAGTTTTTGAGTTATAATTTTTTTAGAAAGTAAAACAGTTTTATCCCCCATGCAGAAACAAATGGCAAGCATAAGGCATTTTTTTCCTGCAGCAGTGGAGGTAACTTGGCAGGAAAAAGAGCATGATTAAAAGCCCATAAAAATACTTTATATTCTAGGTATCTGTAAACTAATAAGGAAACAGCCTGAGAACAGAGAATGAATTTGCATCTCCTTAGCAGAAGGAGCAGTTCTTCTTTGCAGTTTTCTGAAGTATTCTGGACTGGTATTTCTAATGGTAAGGTTTCCCATTTTGGCACAGAAGGCTCAAGTTTTCTTTCTATTAGCATTTCGTTTAGATATGGATCTCCTAAATGGTCCTGTACAGATTCATTTTGCTTATCTCTGTTCACCTTAGGTTGTACTGTACTTGACTGGCTAACCAGCCTGAGCTGTTTGACATCTTCCCTGCTCTCCTGCTGCCGTAGTTTTTCAGAACTATATATAAAAATGTGAACTGTTTAAATGTGTACACAATGTAGCTTAATTAACTCACACAAATGAACGATTGATTCCCCAACTCTGGGCAGGGACAAACTATCTTGAGCAGCTCCCATTAGTTCTCCATATGAACTTTATTTCAGGCTTGTTTTGGATCTAAAATATTCCTCTTTTTGGGAGACCACCAAGAACCTGAGTGGTTTTTTCTGAGTGTGTCCAGACAAAGATTTTATCGCACAATCATCTCATACACTGAATTTTAAGAATGTATGAAGCTGCCAGTTATTATAACTGATACTGGAATTTGGATCAGCACACAAACTGGCACAGACACACTGCTCTTGTTTCCTTCCCAACATCGGGCAAGAGTTTTTGAGTTATAATTTTTTTAGAAAGTAAAACAGTTTTATCCCCCATGCAGAAACAAATGGCCTTAACATCCTCAGATTTAAAACAGATCAAGTAAATTGAAAAGACCAATCTTGCTTACCTTGAAAGAGATGGTTGCCCCCCCTTTTTAATTTGTAATTATGGGTTGTTCTGAACGAGATCGGTGTGCCTCAGTACTTGATTTTCTTGATGCGTAACTTATATTGTGGACAAGAGGTTACTCTTAGAATAGAAGATGGAGAGACAGAATGGTTTCCTATAAGCAAAAATGTCAGACAAATGTGCATTTTATCTCCCTAAAAGAAACATCAATAATTTAAGACATGCAGATGACACCATTTTACTGGCAGAAAGCTGCAATGACTTGAAATAAATTTTAGTGAAAGAAGAAAGTGCCAAAGCAGGACTGCAGTTGAACATGAAGAAAACAAAAATCAGAACTACAGAATTACACAACTTTAATTTCAACAAAGAAAAAACTGAAATCATTAAACATTTTGTATATCTTGATTCCATCAATCCAAATGGAGACTGTAGCCAAGAAATGAGAAAAAAGCTAAGACTTGGAAGACCAGCAATGAAGGAATTAGAAAATCATTCACACAAAATCATTCACACTCTTGTATTCATGATTATTATGCATGGATGTGAGAGCTAAAAAGTGAAGAAAGCTGAAAGGAAAGAATCTGATTTATTTGAAATAAGGTGCTAGAGGAGAGTCCTGGATTGCCAGAAAGACAAACAGGTGGGTCTTAGATCAAATCAAGGCTGAAATATGATAATGAAACTGAGGCTGAACTATGTTGGGCACATCATGAGAAGGCAGGATTCTCAGGAAAAGACAATAGTGCTGGGAAAGGTGGAAGGCAGCAAGAAAAGAGGGAGACCAAAGAAGAGATAGACTGACTTCCTAAGAGAAGAACAGCCTTGAATTTACAAGAGCTGAATAAGGGGAGAACAAGGAGAGAACTATAAGTTGAGATCAAGACATTTCGAAACTTCCCATATATCGGGTCTCCACAAATTGGAGATGAATTGATGGCACATAACAACAACGATAATGTTAAACCTAGGAATGAGATGGAACTCCTGGTGGAAAGGGATTCAGAGAAGATGTAAGACTGCACTCTCCCAGTTGCAATCAGAAAATTGACGCCAAACTAAACATTGATCAGGAAGCATCCTGCCTTTCCAGCATTTTATGTGCTGCCCATTCATTTCTACCATAATCTGACATCAACAGATTTCCCCAGCACAGTCTGATGCAGCTGTGTGTTCTTAGCAAAAGAATGAAGTGAAAGTTTAGAGACAGGAAAGAAGATGATTGGGTTTAATGAGAATTTCCAGACTGAATAAGCACTCTCAAAGCACATTAATTCCAAATGATTGTGTCTCCATGGGGAAGACAGTGGAGTATGTTCTGTAGGGTTGGTATCCATGGGGAAGACAGTGGAGTATGTTCTGTAAGGTTGGTATATCTTGCATCTAAAGAATATACTACACACATCCTGATTTATGGAGTAGAAATAAGTTTTAAAAGAACAAAACAAAAAGGGGGAGATTTTGTTCAGTAATAATAGCCCCAAATGCTTCAGTCAATGTGTTGTTCTAAAGTTGTTAGTATTCAAATTGTTACCACAGTCACAACAACCTGATGGAAAATGTGATTTTCCTGGTAGAAGACTGAGACTGTGAACGAGGGACAAGACCAGCCAGGGATTTCAAAAGCTAAACTAGGATTTGAACATAACTGACAACCAAACCACATATTAAGAACAATATCTATTTCCTGTTATTGCAATATTTTCCCCAGGCACACAATTCCTTCAAAGCTCTGTTCCTGGGCATTCATATTTGTAAATCAGGGTCATGATTATCTCTCATTGACAAATCACAAACCTTAAGCAAGCTGATTTTCAACATATAAATCAACCCCACTCTAATGGCAGGACCAGCTCTGGACATGGTTTCATGTGATTTTTGGGTCTTATGAAAGGGCAGACAGTTTGTTGTGTAGCCTTCTGTGCCAAGAGATGAGGAAAGGCAGTAATGAAATGTCTGCCATACCTGCCAAAATAAGTCAACAGTTTTAGGTTACTATGCAGCTAAGCGGAGGTGGAATATTTTCTTCAGACAGGAAAATGTCTTGAACTGGTTCAGTTAACCTCTGGAACCAAAAGGCAATAACACAGATCTAGTTTAGAGGCCACTTGCAAAAATCTTAGAGACTGCTGAAAGAATATGTCTGATGAAGCCAGAATGCTATATATAATAAGTAGACTAGCTCTTCTGGATTGTACTTTGTTGGTGCCTGAAATCTAGCCACTCTTCAAGTCATGCTGAGTACTCCTGAAGGCTGTAAACTGCCACAGTTAGGCCCCAATTTCTACCTTTCCCTTGCAGTCATGCCTGGCTTGTACAACACAACCCAGATGTTTTCTATGAAGAAATGTACCTGACAAGCAAACCTGCAGCACGGGGGCTATGCAGGGAATAAAGAGCAGAAAACAACAGGTTTTTCTAAAATCACAGTCTAGAAACTCTCAAGTTTAGGAGCTGGACTGAGAGTTTGTTATTCCCCACACTATGTGAAGATTTATCACTGAACTCTTATTCCCATTCATTAGGATGAAGCTAAGCCTTGGGACAAGCAGGAGACAACAATAGCATCAGGTTTTGCTAGAGATGTTGACAGATATAGGATTAAGATATAGTCACTTCTTTTGTTATACCAGCAATGACCAACCGCTTGCAATCTGTCCATACAAGGTAGGGCATGTGCAAAACATCCACTGACTATTACACAGAGGTAGCATCACCATTCTGATGCTATTAAAAACTCATTTGTTCCAGATACATGTGAAACCAGATCTGCACCCTTACCAAGAAGGCTACACCATTTCCCAATAGCTTCTTTTGGATCCTCTATAATCATAAGTAGCAAGGCTAGCACATGGATGATGCCAGCCCTTCAACTAGGAAACAGAATAAATACATTATTAACCGTTTAATATACTGGTTAAAGAATCAAATTGGGGTGAGTTCAGAAATAGTTGCTTCTAGAATAAAATGAACAAACAAAGCATTGGCTAAGGACATGTTTCAGGCTTCTAATAACTCAAGCCATTTTCCATTGCTACATAGCTACCCGAGAAGAATACGCTAGTCCCTTCTCCATTATTGCTTTCTTCATATGGAAAATGGTGCATCCGAAGAGGAGAAGGTTCTGTGAATAATTTCCTCCAGATTTTCCTGGTTACAGAAACATCTCTTTTTCAAACCTGTCACCTTGTAGTGTGTTGTCCTCTCTTCCATGTTAGCTAAACCAGGCAACTAATGATTAAATAAGGCTTCACTGTAGCGACATTCAGTGAAGTGACACTCCTGAGCCTTGATAGTGCAGTTTCTTGTCCAACATTGCACGGTAAAGGCCAAGAAATCTCTTCCACAACACAGTTACACTGTACCTCTTGGAGACATTGCACCTCTCAGAGAGGTCAATCCAGACAAGCAATCAAATAGTCTTGGAGAACTTAAGCATGAGTCCCTTGGTGCTTCTACAGGTAACTATCAGCTTGTATAGCGCATTAGGTTGGATTGTCTGGCTGTAGAGTCAAGGGCTGAGAGTATGAATCTTGACTTTGTCACCTGAGAAAGTGACCATCTGGGGTCAATTAGTGTGTGTGTGTAGCTGGTGGGGTTGTGTGTTCAGTCTTGGGGAAGCTGTATGATCCCAGTGTCACCACAAAGAGGCCTGGTAAATCATTTCTGAGTGTACCTTCTTGTCCAACAGGCCAAAGCAAAGAGGCAGTCACGAAAGCAGCAAAATCAGGGAGCTGGACAGGGGACAGATTGGATTTTTCTTCAGTGTGGAAGGGATTGTCACTCTCGAATTGGCCTTCTCAGCCACACTAGACGCTGTTCCAAGTCCTCCATACAGAGCATGTTACCATAGTCTCTCAAGATTGAAGGATGCCTAATCTAAAAATACCTAGAAAACCCAGAAAGGATAGTTGGAATAGACTCGACAGTACATGCTATTGGTTATTTAATAAGACTAAGTTATAGGCATTGTGTGTGTGTTGTCTTTATGCATCTGCCTATGTCTTCTGTTATAATGGATTTATTCCAAAATAGGAGAAAAAGTATGGGGGATTTGGTATAGCTTTTTGAACGGCAGTGGGGTATAACTGGAGATATGCCTCCCCGCAACCCAAGAACTATTGTGTGTTCTATAATTATTTTGCTAGTGGTCAGCCAATACCTCGAGTGGAATATACACCTGAGGAAATAAAAACATGGGGTGTCGTGTTCAGGGAACTTACTAAACTCTATCCAACTCACGCTTGTCGAGAATATTTGAAGAACTTCCCCCTGCTGACAAAGCACTGTGGCTACAGAGAAGATAATGTCCCTCAGCTGGAGGATGTTGCTATGTTTCTTAAAGGTAAGCTCCAAGCTTGGCTTCTAGCTGAACAAGGTAATGTAAACATCATGATCTAATTCTAAATCATTTATCCCTGCCATTGATAGGAGTATATGTGAACATTTTTATAAAATACACATACATAATATTGTGCCACAAGTCTGAATCAGAGTTTAGAAACACAACATTTCATAGCTCTGCTCTTAGGCTAATAGTATGTGGGTGATCCCAATTATTGTAAGTGCCACAACTCATTTGCACACAGTTTTAGGACTGCCTATATGTCACTTGCAGGTATTTTTTATGGCTTGTACTAGCAGTGCAGTATATATTTTTGTGTTAACATTAAGTATGATGAAGTCTCTGGAAAAATAACACATGAGGGCATAAAAATTTACTTTTATCTGATGTGGGAACATTTCAGCCACTAGTCCATCTGGCCAGTAGTAGCTTTCTAGTGCTTCAAGTTGGATTCTTTCTTACTCCTGTCTGATGATGCCAGCGATTGTATTCAGAACATTCTCCATGCAAGTATGCTTCTCTTATTATGCCACAACCAGTTGACTGTGGCCCATTGGAGAAGTCCCTTTCATGTACCACTAAGGGATGATCCAAACATTCTCATTCATCCTGGAGGAATGGTGTGAGATTCACCAAGCAGTTAACCTCCTCTGTGAGAATGGACTCTGGTATAAATGCCTTAGTGGGCTAAGATCCAATTTGCTTAGTGTCTTTACTTCTTTTTTTTTTTTAAGTAAAGTAAGTCATAAGAACAGAGGGTGTGATGCCTATGGAACTCCTCCAAAGAGATGTTGTTGTTGTTGTTGTTGTTGTGAAGAGACAATGAAGTCAGAGGGTCTCAGTTTGTCCAGTCTGGTTTTCAGAGATGGGTACAGGTATTTGCTTTATGGAGAGGAGAAAGTCACATCACTCCACCACATTGCACTGCCACTGGAATTGAACATATACAATTTTGGTGATTCTCATTAGACAGTATAAATGTCATCCACTAGAGATTATTTGAGGTGACAGGAAAGCACAGTCTGTTCAGCATTGTTTGGTATGTAGTGGCTTCTCTCTGCAAAAATAAAATAAAATAAAATCCACTGCCATTACTTGAACAATGAATAATATTGTTGCTATTGAACAAAGAGCAACCAGACAATTTCCAAAGTATAGTGTCACCTCCTCCTATTTTTACAGCCAAACCATTGAGCCATTGTAATATTGCTCAGAATATGAGCAGAAGTGTATATAAACTTAACAAGACTTATGCTAAACTCTACCTCTCTTTGTAATGAACCTCACATGCCCAGTGGCACATAGCCTATTGTGCTGGTAAGGTGGCTTGGAGTGATATGGTTAAAAACAAACTGAGATGCTCATTGAAGCAGGAAGCCTACGTACCTTTTGCACTTAGTCAACACGGTGGAGTGGGTAGCGTGTCAGATGAGGGCTGCAGAAACAACAGTTTTCTCCCACTAGTGAAGCTTACTGTGTGACCTTGATACAATTATTACCTCTGAACCTAACAGGTTTCACAGAGTTGTTAGAATAAGATAGTGAAGGAGTAAGGCTTAATGGAGCAGGGTGGGGGAACCCCTTGCAATTTATTTTTGTCACTATAAAATAAATTTGTTACATTTTAAAAAAAGAGATAACCTATGTGAAGGAGGGAAAAAATCACATCTTCAGGGACCTCTACAGTTTCTCCATTGGATCGTTATTATGACTGAAAAAAAATCCTTGCTCAGTTGTGGGAATTTTGTTTGACCTAAATATCAAAACAGTAAGAGCTAGAAACATGGAATTTTTCAGAGATACTACAGAATTCCTAACTTATATCTCAAAATCAGTTCTGTCAGAGTCCCCAAAGGGCCCAATAATCAATTACCTTTTTGTAGCACCTAATTATAGTCATTAAATAAATCTACTAGGTTTCTGTCAACTCTCTTCTATTCTGCCACATAGTGATATATATTGGAATCCATATTTCAAAAAATGGTTTGAGTGACGATATAGCATAACACAAACAAAGCAAAACAAAAAGACGAAAGCAAAAACAAAAACAAAATCAGAGGGGAAAACACCCAAGGCGAAAACAGAGAACGTCATTAACAATATTGGTTGAAAATTTTAGTGTCCTTTGAACTGTAATAATTGGATGAGTGTAATTAAATATAAGTTGAAAATAGAAATAAGAAAGAATGAATAGATTTTAAGACTAGAAGAAGCCAGGTATAATTGCTATTAAATTAAAACCCCATAAGTTTTAGACAGGGACCTCCATTTTGAGGTAGGTGGGTATAACTACTGGTTTGAATGAGTGTCAGGGTGGAGAAAAAGGACCAGCATTAAAAAAGGACACAAATTTAGAGAGAGACAAAAGAGAGAGACTAAGATGGAGGATGGAACTAATAGATTTCTACACTGGAAAAAGCCATGCAAAACATCCCTGACTTTGTGTGCACTGAATTCTGCAGGAGCTGCGATGGAACACTCTCATGAAAATACATCTTTATGCAAAGAAAGATGTGGCGGCCAGCTCTCTTTGTCTTTACTTCAAATCAACCTGATAGCTGAGGGTCACTCATTGTCCCATATCCCAGATGGCCTCTTTGGCTTTACAGTTACAGGAAAGTGATTAGCTGCTACCATTTGGAGCAATTCAAAGAGCTTATGTTTTGTACTGGAGAAAATATCGAACATGGAGAGGGAGGAATGACTGTCCCCACCCCATTCCCTCTTACTAGTGTGACAAAGTCACAGCAAAGTATAACAATATGAAGTTACAGAAGACTTTTCAATTGAAAATAAAATACAGTGTATGGTCTGAAAGGCTAACCAACCCAACTCCCATTTCCCTCCCCCTTTATTCTGCCTTTGTGGCTGCCAGCACTTAACATTAATTGGTGTGCTGCTCTTTGAGCCTGGTCATAGATTTCAAAGGTGCCTCCTGCGTTGTTCTTCTGATCCCCAAGGAATGGAGGTGAAGTTCAATTACTTTTTTTCTTTGCTAGAAGATAGAAAAGCACTCTAAGGTTCAAAAGTCTTTTCTGAACTAAAGACAACAGCCATAATTTCTTTCTTTCTTTCTTTGTGTGGTCCCAAGCTGGGATCATTTTACAGAAAACAGTAACTAACAAGATAAGAAACAGGTTGGGAAAGAACCAACCTCTTCAAAGTCATCACACATTTGGAAACAACTCTGCAGAGAGAGGTTTTTGATCAAGGGAGCCTTTCTTTACAAAGAAGTGTGCACCAGAATTTGAGATATTTATAGAGGAAGCTATTGTCCAGACTTTTCAGTGTATAAAAAACCAAGTACAACCAAATATTTAGCTTAAACTCAATTTCTGATTGTCAAGCTCTAAAATACAGGTGAGGCTGCAGCTTCTTGCCAGATGTTGTGTGGCAGTTCCTCTCATTCCTTACCATTGGCCGGGCCGGTTAAGGCTGATGGGTATTGCCTCTAATAAGATCTGGAGGACTGAGATTCCTACATCTCTATCCAGAGCAGAAGGTAAGTCTCATTGGATCAGAGAAGAGGTCTATCTATCTGGCATTCTGTTTCCACAATGGTCAAGCAGATGCCCTTGGGAAGCCCAGAAACAAGATATGAGTCTGATGCTCTCCTGTTGCTTTTTCCCTAGCAACTGATCGTTAGAGGCATATAGCCTCTGATACAAAAGCTTATATACAGCTATCTTGTCGAGTGATTACCAATGGCTGACTCCTTCATAAATTCTTCTAATCTCCTTTTAAACCTGTCAGAGTTGGCAGCTTTCACTGCTTTTTGTGGCAGGAACTCTTCAGTGAATCCCGTATGAAGAAGTACTGCCTTTTATTTGTCATGAACCTTTTACTGTTCAGACTCCCTGGATGAGCTCACGCTCTAGTGTTATAAGAAAGGGAGAAAAGTCTTCCCATCTACTTTCTTCATAGGTATCTGACGGTGGAGCCAGAGGCTGGGAATTTGATTCCTTATTCTTCCTTCTTGACAGAGACTGGGCTTTATGATCCATAGGGTCCCTTCCAGTTCTGCACTTCTAGGATTAGTATAATTATTGGAATTATATTCTTGCATCCCTCCATCTCCCATTGTTCATCTTTTCTCCAAGACAAACACTGCAGTCTTCTTTCATAAGGAAGTTGCTGTGCTCCTTTGATCATGTCAGCTCTCCTTTTCCTGTCCTTTTCCAGTGACACAATGGATGAAATCCTGTTGCTTAGTATTTTAAGTCACAACTAGAGCAGGCCTACTGAATTAGTGGGGATTTGCTCAATCAGTTCTTCTATAAGTTCTAGTAATTCAACAAACCTGCTCCAGTTGTGACTTACTATAGTAAGCAAACAGATTTCAGACAATATGTATTTTAAGAAGTACTTATAAAACAATACATAGTATTCAAAGTGTGGCAATATCATACATTTGAATAAGTATAATGAGTTACTGTCAGTTTCATTTTTAGTTCCTTTCCTAACAATATATGCTGCAGTCTGCCTTTTTCATAACCCCTTCATGCTATGCCAACACTTTCACTGGGCTATCTATGACTCCACTATTCCTTTCCCTACTGATCATTGTCAGCTAAGATTCCATCAGATCCCATGAAGCTGGGGCTTATGGTTGTTGTAGGTTTTTCGGTCTGTCTGGCTGTGTTCTTGAGGTTTTTCTTCCTAATGTTTCACCAGTGTCTGTAGCCGGCATCTTCAGAGGACAGGAGTCAGAACTCTGAAAAACCTACAACAACCATCGGATCCCAGCCGTGAAAGCCGTCAAGAATACAGGCTGGGGCTTGTTTGTGGGGTTTTTTTTTGCCCCCTGTGCATCATTTTGCACTTGCTAACTTTGAACTGTATTTTCCATTTTGATGGTTACTTTCCCAGTTCTATAGTACCGTATGCAGTCCAGTATATATTACAAATATTTGGTGATTTCTACCATCAAATTTAATCAATAACTTAAGATGTATTTACATGTAAACAAAACTGTTTTTGCTAGCATTTATACATGTTGCCTGAAACAGCTCCACCCCAGGACATTTTTACATATACCTGAATAAGACACGTCACTGGCAACAGATCTTTGTTCAATGTGTAGGTTAACAATTTTACAGTTACACAGCTAAAATGCTTTCTTCCATAGCTGTAAAAAGTATAATGCATGATGTGTTCCCAGTATGACTTTTTTAATTTGATGGTGCATATAAATAAGAAATATGGTTTCTGGAATGGCCTCCATGGATATTATTTTGGATTTTATAGGTTTTATTTTGTCCCCTCTCTTAACTAAATGATCTCCATCAGTTTATGAGTTTTATTTTGCTAAGATGCATATACTTCTTGCAAATAATATGTGATCATTTAAACAGACCCTCTGACAACATGATCTTGTGTTTTCCACTGCCTGGCATACTGAACAGGTTTAACGTTGACCTTTCTTGTCCTTCAGAAAGGTCTGGCTTCACAGTCAGACCTGTTGCTGGGTATTTGTCACCACGTGACTTTTTAGCAGGTCTTGCCTATCGTGTTTTCCACTGCACACAGTACATACGCCATGGCTCTGATCCTCTTTACACTCCTGAACCGTGAGTATCATTTGCCATAATTTAATATTTATTTGTTGGATTTATATTCTGTCTGTCTTCCACTATGTTCTATGTGGCATTCCTGTTTCTCCTCTTGCTGACAATGTCCTCACAATAATTCTGAGATTGGTTGTAAAAGAGAAACTGGTCAAAGATTGACTGACTGGTATCTTGTTGCTAGTCCTAAATAGAGTACAGTGATGCCTCGCAAGACTAAATTAATTTGTTCTGTGAGTCATGTCATATTGCAAAAATTTCATCTTGCAAGGCACGGTACTAATAGTTGTGTGATTTGTTTTTTTAAACAAAAAAAGGAGGAATCGTCTTGCAAAGTAAAAGAGAAACTGGTCAAAGATTGACTGACTGGTATCTTGTTGCTAGTCCTAAATAGAGTACAGTGATGCCTCGCAAGACTAAATTAATTTGTTCTGTGAGTCATGTCATATTGCAAAAATTTCATCTTGCAAGGCACGGTACTAATAGTTGTGTGATTTGTTTTTTTTAACAAAAAAAGGAGGAATCGTCTTGCGAAGCACCAAAAAAAAATTGCAAAACACTTTTGTCTTGCGAGTTTTTTGTTGCATGAGGCATTCGTCTTGCGAGGCATCGTTGTAGATTCATTGACTAGTGTGATTCACCCAAATGTTGACTTACCATTCAACAGTTAATTCAACATCTGCTCTGATTGGGACTTGAAAGAGAATACTGGCCACTACTTACTTAAAAATATTTTCATATCACTTATTAGTAGAAAATGAACAAGTGAACAATATAATGAAATAAAATGGCAAGGAGAGAGAAACCAAGTTAAACTTCTCATTCACTGAAGATCATGGAATCAGGTACATGGCCAAAGTCATGGACATTAAACTTGGGTCTTCTCAGTCCTTATTCAGCATATTAACTACTGTTCTGCTGACCAAACTGAGCAACCAAGCATTTGTGAGGATAAAATTGGGTGCTGGAAGCTGGAGAGCCATTTGCACCACCTTAAAGAGAACCAGGTAAATGATGAATAAAAGTAAATGGTGCAGAATGTTTGCTCATCAACCCCAGTGTGCCAAGAACTTTTGGGTAGGAGGAGGTGAAGCTGTTCTATAGCACAGGAGGGGAGGGCAAGGAGCAATCTGCAGGCACTCACTCTTTACTCCTCAGCATTTTTTCCAATATTTAAGAGCAGGGTGTGTGTGCAAAGTGGCAATCACAATGAGAGCAGACTCCTGGGAAGGAGGACATTCACGGAGCACAAAAGGTTTAGCAAGCGCCCTGCGTCATCCTTTTTCTGAGGCAAAAATCCAAAGGCCTGCTGTGACTACTGATTAATTATTCAAAAGGATCGTTCCTCATTGTTTGCCTTGTTACCATCTGGCTTTTGTCTGTGTAGCAGAAAAGAGCTCCCAAGTGCCACTGTGTATAAAACAACACTCACTCCTCTGCTCAGAGGGCATCTTTTCTGAAAACAAGCATATATAGGACTGCATTTAGAGATGACATGATCCCCAGTTTCATGTTTGTCCCCCCTCACTCCCCATTCCAGGCTGGTCCTTTTACTGCTGCTGCCTTTCTTCTTCTGTTTGCTGTATTTTGCTTTTCTCCATGGATAGCACTTGCATTTTAAAGTGAAGAAGATGGCATTTATGCAGCTGTCTCTTGTCTTGTATTTGCAGAATTAAGACCATGTAAAATGCCCTTTGGGAGTAAACCACAAGAAGAGAAATGTGCTTGTGCAAAGGGAGACAAAATAGGGAGCTGTGGAGTGGTGGTTGGTAGGAGGGAGAGATGCAGATACTTAGTGATAGTGGCCTTCTTTAACCACTCCCCTTCTACTCAAGATACAGTAGTTTTGCAGGCCAACCTCCTGTTGCTACTATGGTCTGCCACCATGATAAAGCATCATGCATCTACAATTTAATCACTGAGAGGGCTGAGCTGCTATGTATGATCTAGAAATGGGCTGGCCAAATCCCCCACCCCTTAAGCCACTTTTTCTTTGCTTGGATATTTGATGCAGCACAAATCTTGGTTGAAGAGAAGTAGACTGGAATGGGTGGAGTGTTGCAGGTATCTGTAACAATTCACCATTTCTCATCAGGAAATCAGTCTGTTTTGGAGCTGGATGCGAGAACCTGTATCTAGTGCCAGGACAGGCAGAAAAAGAATATTGTTGATGTACCACATGCTGGGCTGCTCAACAGCCTCCTTGATTGAACTAGCAAAAGCAGCATTGGAATGCTGGAGAAACGCTTACACCAGATTTCATATTGTTTGGTCTAGCTTAGGACTTAATGGGAACTCTAACCATGTGGCTGTCTCAATACATCATTCCCCCAATATGTGTTGCATGTAATACCTTCAATCAGGTGTTTGTTGAAAGTGGACTGGGAGTGTTGCAACCAAATATGTCTACTTTCAAAGTACCCCAGATATACATTGCCCATCTGCTCAAGAAATACAGAGATGGACTCAAGTGTTGGAGTTAAATAAGAACACACTTAACTGATTTCAATCCCTCTGTTGAGGGGTGGATTGTGGGGGGGGGGCATGTTGGAGCCTCGTGGCGCAGTGGTTAAACCGCTGTACTGCAGCTAAAACTGTGCTCACGACCTGGGGTTCAAATCCCAGGTAGCCGGCTCAAGGTTGACTCCGCGTTCTATCCTTCCGAGTACCCAGCTCGCTGGGGGGGCAATATGTAGCCTGCATAATTAAATTGTAAACCGCCCAGAGAGTGCTTGAAGCGCTACGGGGTGGTATATAAGCAGCACGCTTTGCTTTATATAAGCAGCACGCTTTAGAAATGGTGTGAGGGATTGGTTAGGGCTGTCAGGCATGTGGGCCATGGAAGGGTGAGGGGAGTGCATAGTGGGATGCTTTTTGTCCATGTGGGGCAGAGGAGTTATCATGTGGCATGGTGTGGGATTGGGAGGGGAGGATCGCCTGGAATAACCATAGCTTTGACTATTTGGTCCTTTGTCGGCGAGGTGATGTCTCCACTTTTTAAGATGCTGTCTAGGTTTGTCATCACTTTCCTCCCAAGAAGCAGGTGTCTTTTAATTTCGTGGCTGCTATCACCATCTGCTGTGATCATGGAGCCCAAGAAAGTAAAATCTGTCACTGCCTCCATATCTTCCCCTTCTATTTGCCAGGAGGTGATGGGACCAGTGGCCATGATCTTAGGGTTTTTTGATGTTGAGCTTCACACCATTTTTGCACTCTTCTCTTTCACCCTCATTAAGAGGTTCTTTAATTCCTCCTCACTTTCTGCCATCAGAGTGGTATCATCTGCATATCTGAGGCTGTTGATATTTCTTCTGGCAATCTTAATTATGGCTTGGGATTCATCCAATCCAGCCTTTTGCATGATGTATTCTGCATATGTTAAATAAGCAGGGAGGCAATACACAGCCTTGTCGTACTTCTTTCCCAATTTTCAACCAATCAGTTGTTCCATATCCAGTTCTAACTGTTGCTTCCTGTCCCACATATAGATTTCTCAGGAAATAGATAAGGTGGTCAGGCACTCCCATTTCTTTAAGAACTTTCCATAGTCAATGAAGCAGAAGTAGATGTTTTTCTGGAATTCTTTGGCTTTCTCCATAATCCAGTGCATGTTAGCAATTTGGTCTCTAGTTCTTATGCCCCTTTGAAATCCAGCTTGTACTTCTGAGAGTTCTTGGTCCACATACTGCTGAAGCCTACCTTGTAGGATTTTGAACATAACCATGCTAGTGTGCGAAATGAGTACAATTGTATGGTAGTTGGAGCATTCTTTGGCATTGCCCTATGTTGGGATTGGGATGCAGACTGATCTTTTCCAACCCTCTGGCCACTGCTGAGATTTCTAAACTTGCTGGCATATGGAGGGTAGAACCTTAACAGCATCATCTTTTAAGATTTTAAATAGTTCAACTGGAATGCCATCACTTCCACTGGCCTTGTTGTTAGCCATGCTTTCTAAGGCCCACTTGACTTCACTCTCCAGGAGATCTGGCTCAAGGTCAGCAACCACACTACAGTGGTGCCTCAACTTACGACCATAATCCGTTCCAGAAGATGTGCATAACTCGAAATGGTCGTAAATCGAAGCACCATTTCACATAGGAATATACTGAAACCCCATTAATCTGTTCTGGCTAGGACAAAACCCCCAAAATAAATCAAATAAAAATACAACACAGCGAGCCCCATAGGAATGTGCTGGGGCAAAAAAAAAAAACAAAACCCCACACCAAAACAAACAAACAAACAAAAACCACAGCCAGCCCCAGTGGAATGCTATGGGGCTGGGAAAAAAACACTTCAAAAACCCCAACACACACAGCCAGCCCCAACAGAATACCATGGGCCTGGGGGGAAAAACACAACCTCCTCACACACAGCCAGCCCCAGCGGAACGTGATAGGGATGGGAAAAAACACTCAAAAACAACCCCATACAGACAGACAGCCCCAGCGGAATGCGATGGGGCTGGGGAAAAAACACAACCCTCACGCACACACAGCTAGCCCCACCAGAATGCCATGGGGCTGGGGGGAAAAACACAAAAACACCCTTCACACACATACAGCCAGCCCAAATGCGATGGGGCTGGGGAAAAAACACACCAAAACACAAAAACATCACAGCACAGGAGGGAAGGCAGTAAAAGTGGAAAAAATAAACCAAAATCAGTTTTGCTTTCTTACCTGGTTTGTGTCTTGGCCTGTATAAGGAGGGAAGGCAGTTAAAAAGGAAGAAATAAACAAAAAATAGTTTTGATCTCTTACCTGGTTGGTGTCTTGGCCTATATGAGAAGGGAAGGTAGTAAAAAAGTAAATAAATCTAAATTGAGTTTTGATCCCTTACCTGGTCAGTGCCTAGCCATAAAATATGTTGTTTTACCTAGAAGATAGTTATGTGATATATATTAACATTTATAAACCACTATCTCTTTAAATTTTGAGCAAGTAATTAACACAATGAATATGGAAATAAATACAAGAGAAATCAACCCAGAAAGAGAA